CCCCAAAACCCCAAAACCCCAAAACCCCTGTATGATCTTCTAAGTTGAAAATAACACAGATAAAATTGAAGGGCCTTAGCACTTAAATATGTAAAAGTCTCTTTGAAAGTTGTAGTATGAATTCAATTTTTGAAGTCTAATGAAATAGCTTAGGGGGGAATTGAATGCCAGCACCTCTTTTGGCCAATAGTTCTTATTCCTTTACATTTAAGGTGGCACTAGAGCTGATTTTGATGCCAGTTCTTTAATTTTTCATCCATTCACCAAACTTTCGAGTCCTAGAGCGTCCACTGTGGGTTGTCTTGTACAAATTCTGCCTCTTTTGCTTTGAAATTTTAGGGAGAATCTGGATATTAGTTCCCATGCTAGTACCAATTTTCTTAGTGGGAAAATCCGGACAAGAAGTTTTATTTATCGAAAGCACCTTGCTAGCTTCATTTTGAATAAAATTTTCTGAGATTTTTAAAAACCTGTTATTTGTCCTGAGATATATTCTTGCTAAGAGAAGCCTGAGCGGTATTACGCACCACAAGGCCTCTGCTGTTTAAGGTTAGCTCCCTTCGAGATGTTTTAGTCTTGTAATTCTTACGGATTACAGGAATTTCTCGGCTCTAGATCACTTATGAAATTAAAGTACCGTTTGTCGAACAGATTGCTTTTGATCTTGCTCAAGTTTCTCCTGGATGAATTTGTTGCTCATAATAGGCCTCTTGAAAGTCACCTTGTTTTGAGATGTACTGCTAGACATTCCTGTAGCAGGAGTTTGGAGATCTTCAAGTGATCTCCTAGGCCTAACTATACTTTTCATTGTTGAGACTCTTGTGAGAGGTAGCCTAGCGACCTTATTTAGGCTTTATTTTTCCTATGAGATTTGTTATATCAGGGATATTGTTGGATGTGTATAAATTTAAGGATGAGACATTTATGTCCATATTTTAGTTTTTATAAAAATACAATCATGTTTCTAAGTACAAAAAGCTCTTACTGCCAAATTTCAGATCTTCAATAGGATATTTCAAACTAGCAGCAAATTTCAACGACAAATCTCTTTGATACTGCTCCACCAACTTCTTTTTTCGACTATCTTTATTATCCGTAATCGTAATATTAATGCTACTTAAGCTTTTAAGAAACTCCATTTCTTTCAATTAAATAACTTCTTCAACCCTAAATTATCTTAAAGGGGTTTTGGGGTTTTGGGGTTTTGGGGTTTTGGGG